CTGAACCAATGGCACCTGTTCACACACCCTCCGAATGCATCTGAAATCATTTTGCATGCGACAGGATCTCCCTGGTTACTGCAGGCTCTCACCTGAATTTACGAATTGCCCCAACACAAATCATGAGCTTTCGTGGGCACAGCCCACTTCTTCAGATGACCGGCAGCCCACGAAAGCTCATGATCCCATCTACATGTGCTGTTATCCAGGTGTTACTTTTGAAGTTCACCCTGTACAGACTAACTCGGCTACACCCTGAAGCCTTTAAAATGGAACAGTTAGAATCATCATGAAGTGTAACCCAATTAGTTCACAGACTCACAGAACACTAGAACCGGAAGGGACCTCGAGAGCTCATCGAGTCCAGTCCCCTGCCCGCACGGCAGGACCCAGCACCGTCTAGACCACGGGGGGACACCCCAAATCCAGGCCCCAAATATCCATGGGACTGGAACAACTTCTAACTCCTCCTGAGTGAGTCTGGTTCATACCAGTGACTGTAGCTGCAGACAAAAGGCCTTTAGCTCCGTAGCCTGAGCAGCCAGGTGCTAATGTGACGCCTTGGGGAATAGATTTCTTTTCTGGCAATGCCTGTTTATTAAGTCAAGTTCAGACCATGTTGGAGTTTGTAGGGACAGGGTCTGGTGCCCTGAGCCCCCTCCATGCGTCCAGAGACAGCTCTCCTCCCAACGCAAACACTGAACCAATGGCACCTGTTCACACACCCTCCGAATGCATCTGAAATCATTTTGCATGCGACAGGATCTCCCTGCTTATTGCAGGCTCTCACCTGAATTTACGAATTGCCCCAAGACAAATCATGAGCTTTCGTGGGCACAGCCCACTTCTTCAGATGACCGGCAGCCCACGAAAGCTCACGATCCCATCTACATGTGTGGTTAGCCAGGTGTTGCTTTTGAAGTTCACCCTGTACAGACTAACTCGGCTACACCCTGAAGCCTTTAAAATGGAACAGTTAGAATCATCATGAAGTGTAACCCAATTAGTTCACAGACTCACAGAACACTAGAACCGGAAGGGACCTCGAGAGCTCATCGAGTCCAGTCCCCTGCCCGCACGGCAGGACCCAGCACCGTCTAGACCACGGGTGGGGAGCCTCAGGCCTAGGGGCCAGATGCAGCCCTCAGCTTGCCAGGATCCAGCACCCAAGGCTCAGCCCCTCCGCCCCCCAACACTGGGGAGTCTGCGCTGGTGCTCCAGTCCCCCTGCTGCCTGCCTGTGGGGCCGGAGCACAGAAAATCTAGGGTCTGGTGTGCGAGGGAATGTGGGGAGGGTCGTTCTGCTTCTCTGCTGGGGCCACTCTGAGGGGTTTTTCTTCTTCTTAGTCGTGTCTGGCCCCCAACTGAGTTTTCTGTGGGTCCACAGCCCCCAACCCAAAAAAGGTTCCCCAGCCCTGACAGGTACGTGTCCACCCTCCTCTTAAATATCATCAGGGATGGAGATTCCACCACCTCCCTCAGCAGTTCATTCCAGTGATTAACAGCCCTAATAGGCGGGAAGTTTTTCCTTATGTCCAACCTATTTCTCGCAGGCCAGAGAGAGGAGCGAGCGTCTGGGTGCTGAACGATGGCCAGGTCAGGAGACACGATTGCGATGCCGGCCCTGGGCCGCCCCTTCCAGCTGGGGATGCTGTACGACTGCCGCACGGACGCCCTCATCCCAGGTACCTGTCGCTGGGGAGGAACGGGCCCAATTGGCCCCCTTCCCACTGCAGCAAAGGAGGCGTTTGGCGCCTGTTTGTTTTCGGCACATTTGGGTTGGGATTTGAGCTGGGGGAGGAAATGGCACCTAAACCTGCAGAGGCAGAGCTGGCCCTTCTCATGGCCCCGGGGCACTAGGAGAAAAGGGAAACTGCCCATTGGCTCCCCGGCCACAGCAGCATCAATGCAGCACTGTGGCAGCGCTGTTATCATAGAATCATAGAATCATAGAATAAGAGGACTGGAAGGGACCTCGAGAGGTCATCGAGTCCAGCCCCCCGCCCTCAAGGCAGGATCAAGCTCTGTCTAGACCATCCCTGACAGATGTCTATCTAACCTGTTCTTAAATATCTCCAGAGAGGGAGATTCCACCACCTCCCTTGGCAATTTATTCCAATATTTGACCACCCTGACAG